AAAGAGGGAAATAAGGAAACCAAAGCTTGGAATATGCCCAGCTCTGTGTTTGGGAGCTGTGGTGTGAAGCAGTGCTGCTGAAAGCCGTTGTGGTACCGAGGATTCCCACCTCCGCTTGTGCCGTCGCTGTGGGCTGGGGTACCTGGCGTGGATCAGTGGCGTGGATCAGCGGCAGGCTCCTCGCTGCCAGGTTCCGCGGTCAGCTGCCCTGCACGTTGCTGACGGCAGGATGGACGCGGCGATAAAGCCTGTGAAACGTGAGCCAGGTTTGTCTCCTCGCCGTGTGGCTGCCGTCATTGTAGGAAATGCTGTCGTGTGGGGAGAAAACCTGCTCGGCGTCTTTTTGATGGAGCCACAGGTTGGCAGCAGGAAATCAAATCAATAGGGGTCCCTGTGCTCCCATCCCTCCTCACTGGGTTGGTAGAAATGTTGCAAGGAAAAGATGGCTTTTCAAGAAAAGAGGGGTTTTCTCCAGGTTCTGTCATTCCCACTTACATTTGTGGAGCGTAACTCCATGCCTGGGCTGTAGTGTGCTAATTAAAGCTTATCTTGTGGCTAAACTTTGCCTTTGCAATGTAGCAGTGTCACACTAAGAAGTGAACCGTGGAAATACGTTGGGAACCGGTCTGATATTTCTCACAGGGGCCCTGTATGCTAAAACTTTTCCATTCTCTGCTTGCAGACACTGCAAACGAGCCCATAAATACCTCTCCAAGTCAGGCGCTCTTACTTCTCCTGTGGCAGGAATTCTGCAGTCACCTATTCTGTTCTGCCCCCAGCTTAACCATCATCAGAAGAAAGTAATAAAACCTCTGAAAAGCAGAATTATAGCTGCTCTTGGCAACTTTGTGGTTTTCATCTGGGTCAGCGGAGCTGAAATACCAGTCCGTGGCCAAAAAGCCTTGTCTCGTGCTTGCTGAGTTACTTCGTGACTCCTTTCCATGAGCCTGTGCTATGAGCAGAAAACGCTGTGCTCACTGAGACAGGGCACATTTTTATTGAGCCTCTGTCTGCAGAGGGGTTTGGCCTGCGCGGTGCGACGTTTGACAAGAGGGTTTTGCTTGTTTGCCCCAAAGTGGGGACTGCCAAGGGGGCTGGGCAGCTGAACTGAGGGGAAGGTGGATTTTTCAGTTGATTCCCTCCCCTGGGATGGAATTTTTCAAGTTGGTGCAGAAGGGTGAAACAGCATTTGGGGCTCTCCTGAGAGATGGTTATTTCCAGCCGTCTCTGGCGCGTTCCCCGGGGCGCGCTGTGTTTGACGGGGCGAGAGACAGGAGGCAGCTGGCTCGTTGTGTGCGTGCTCACCCGAAATACTGATGCGTCCGCCTGGGATCCTGCTTTGCCCTTGCAAGGTGGGCTGGGGTGTGCTGGGCTCAGGAGGATGGGGAGTGCTCTGGTCAGTGAGCTTCAGAGCCCGCTCCCCTCGGAGCACAGCGCGTCTGGGCTGGTAGTTGGGTTTTGGGGGTGGCGCTGCCCGCTGCTGCGATAAAACTCCATCCACCAACATCATCCACAGAGGACATCGGGATTAGGCCATCCTCGGGATGAAAGCTGAGCGGATGGGGAGTGCTGGGAGACTGGCTTGACACCGGGGCTTCTCCCAGCACCTGCCCC